GTTCCCAGCAGAGGACCCTGATTTTAGCTGCATTGCGTTTTGCCAAACTGTTTAGCCTAATTTTTTCCATGATATTTCTATGTTTCAGTAGAACATTAGTATTTTTAAAATTTCACCTAAATTTGGAAAAAAAAAAAAAGAGAGAAATGGATTCTTAGATGGGGAAAAAAAATTTAGTATAAACAACAGGATTCCCTTGATCATATAATAAGTCTGTGTAGTAGTATGAAGGAGCTTAGTTTACCAGCTGTCAGTCTTTCTAGCATTTTCTAACTTTTAAGCACTTGACTTTGCCATATTAACAAACATTCTTTTCTTGTGGATATACCTAGTGATAATATCCAGAGTACTCAGTACTAGCTCCCCTGGCCCAGCTGTCTCTCTTTGAAGTAATTGGTAAAATTCTCATTGAAATCAGAAGGATCAGAATAAACCAACACAGTGAGCTTTTGGAAATCCCATCTGGAGCTTTTATTTATACATACAGAGTATGCCTAGATACTTAGAAATAAGGTCAGAGACAATGTGAGATAAATGTACTTTTAAAAATTGTTAAGGTAAGACAGAGACTTCATTGGAGATTTTTAAAAGTAAAATTCTATCAATTAAATATGTTGATTATAAAGTACGCTAACTCTTGAATGGCATTAGCCTAATTAAATAAACTACATTAATTCTGAGGGTGTCTTCTTCAAAGTTCCTCTAAAATCATCGGTACTTTCATTTTCCATTATAATATTGCTGCTGACCATGACTTACAATGGTGCTACTGGATTGTTACCCTTTCATCTGACTATTCATTAGCTGTGTAGCGATCCCCTGTTAACATACCCAGATTACCGTTTTAAATACTTGACAAAGTTTTGCTGACCATCAGGCAAAGCAGTCTTTTTAAACTTTTAATGTATTGGGAGAGATTTGTCTTGGTCAGAAGTCATGGGGAGGATCTCTTAATCCAGAACAACCCAGAAAAAAGACCTGAAGACCTGATTTCTCTCAAATTCCCTGGTGGATTAAAACAAGAGAGAGAAAGTGAGAATAATAACTGCCAAGCTGTGCTTCACCTGTATTATCAGTCAGTCTGAGAAGTAAAATGTGACCTCTCCCTAGAAATTTTCTAGCCCTTCTTATTTATGGGTATTTTGGTCCTGCTGAAGCACAGCTCAGTTTGTGTTTCACTTGGTTGATTTTCATTAAGGTCTGTTTTCTCTGGCCTTTCACTCTGGTTTTGAATGAGTGAATTGTGTTGCTTTGAGGATGAGTTGTATTGGGCAGTCATGCCTATGTGACTCTAAAAGTTTTTCTGTAAGATTACATATATGATGTCCTTATGTAAAGAAGTTAATAAGGAGCCTGTGGCAAAGCTCTTTGTTGGGTAGAATTATTTTTCTTGCTACCTCATAGCTCTGGAGCAGGGTCACATTACCTGAGACTACTGACTGTGTTGCTCAGTCAGGGTTGCCAAGCTCTAATGATTATTGCACTGTCCTAGGTGACCCAGAGGCCAAGCTCACATAAGATGAGATGTCTTTTCAGGATTAGTTTTGTCCCAAAGGACCCCATTGATCTTTTAAGAAGAGATCCAGTTGCTTTTGAATATCTCTATGTACAGGTAAGTGAAAGCATGGCCATTGTTAGTCTAAAGGTGAATAAAAAGATAGTTACAATCAGTGTATATATAGATTTATATCTTCACATAGAAAAGTGTGGCTGGAGTAAATCCTGGGTTTTATTTCCACTGCATAAAGCCAGTGAATGCAGTTGGGGAATGTGCAAACCTTTATCATCTGCAAAGTCCTTTTTCTTCATAAGTCCTTCCAAATAGTAATGCTTTGATACCTTTCCAAAATATATTTGGCTTAGAAAAGAGTGAGGCTGAACTAATTGCTAATACTTATTTCTGGTACTGTAATATCAGACAGAAATGATGTCTGAAAAGGAACTTCCAGTAAAATGGATGAGAAAACTGATGAACAAGCAATGTGGTTCTCCTGGGTATCTCACCAGGTAGAATCCTGAACTCAGATACACTGATACCCTCCCAGCCCTCTTTCTGAAAGAGGATTACTGTTCTCCCCAGGAAGGATGAAGAGAGCTTAAACCAAAATGCTCATGCCTTCTGCTCCTTGGCAGGAGTATCTGTTCTTCAGAAGTGCCCATATCCTGAGAGCAACAGTTACCTTCAGGATGGTCCTGCTTCTGAGTTTGGGGCTACTCTCCATGCAATGTTAAAGATTTTTTAAGTTGATGCTCCCTCTACTGGTTCTTTGGCAGAGCTGTAACGACGTGGTTCAGGAAAGATTTGGACCAGAACTGAAATACGACATTGCCCTGAGGCTGGCTGCATTACAAATGTATATTGCAACTGTGACCACCAAGCAAACTCAGAAAATCTCTCTCAAATATATAGAGTAAGTTGAGAATGCAGTGTGTTCTTTGACAGTGAAATATTAGGAGTAGCTCGTATCCTTTAAGGTTGTTTCTTTAATAAGTCTATATGCATTCACCAATTTTAGGTTCAATCTTAATTGCTGGAATTGATTCAGGTGTGTTAAGAGATGTGTGGATCTTTTGGTCCATTTATCTTTTGGTCACCTGTTTATAGCCTGTAAATGTAAATAAGATTAGCTCATTTGCTTTCAATGATTTAATGATCAAATCTAAGTTTATGTGGTCTGAATCCATTTTATAGTAAGATTTGTATGATTTCTTGGTTCAGGTGACTGTAGGGTCTTAGATTCCATTTATAAGATTTCTTAAATATGGAAGTATATGGAAGGTAGGCACCTGTTTCATGTTAGACAAAATGTATATGTCATTACAAAGTAAAGCAAATTTCCAAAAAACAACTGTGTGCACATCTGCTTGGATTAAAAATTAAAAAAAAAACCCACAAATCAAAAAACAACGAAAGAAACAAACTCCAACCCCCTAAACTTTTATTTTTGTTACTTGGTTTGCTTGCATAATCGGAGCAAATGTTGCACACTCAATCTTGTAAAGTTTATCCACCTTACTGAAAAGCATGGTATATTGTACACTATGAATGAATCAGCAGAAATAATTACTTACAGGTAAAGAGTCTTCTATCGCAAGGGTGCCTCAAGCAGAAAAGAAAATTTGGTAAAATGGGAGGGACTGGTTGTTTTTGAGGAGAAAAATCTTCACAAACTAAGTGACAAAGACAATGTTTGGCTTATTTGCATGTTTAAAAAAAAGCCTAGAAAATAAAATTAAAACTGACATTATGTTGTTGAAACTTCTGTGATTCTAATTCAGTGATGGTACTTACTTGAGTAATTAAGTGGTGTTTAAAACAGCATAGAATTTAAACATAAAAACTTAAAAGCTTCTTCTCTGAATGGCACAAGGGAAGAAATGGAATGGACAGAAGAGTTTATACATAATTTTTAAATATTTTTCATATGTAATACATAGTTTGAATATAGAAAATAATGTGTTCTTACTAAACTGGACTTGATTAACTCTACTTCTGTTTTCAGGTGTGTTCATTCACTTGGCATCATAGTCACCAGTCTTTAGACAAATAATCATCACAGGAATGTGAAATTAAATATATGCCTTTTATTGCAGAAAAGAATGGGGATTAGAGACTTTTCTTCCATCTGCTGTGCTGCAAAGCATGAAAGAAAAGAACATAAAGAAAGCACTTTCACACCTTGTCAAAGCAAATCAAAACCTAGTTCCTCCGGGTAAAAAGGTATTAAATTTGCATCTTAATGGAGAATATGTTTTAAAGAACAGAAAGGGTGGCGTGTATGGGAAACATTTAAAATGAATCCTTCGAAGAAACACCTAGCCATTATATTTTCAGAGGTTTAACTTTTTGTTCTCAGTACAACATGTCCAAGAACAATTAAAAATAATTAATTATACCCTAACTAAACTATCTTCTTATCTTGAGAATGCCAGAAAACCAGTTATTAATACTTCATGTATGCAAAGGATACATATTAATTTATTTAGTGTTTCCTATTAATGGCAGACTCGTTAGGAAAGTTATTCCTCTCTCTCTGATGCTCTCATGTGAACCACATTAACCTATGGGCCTGACAAAAATACTGATTTTCAAGGTTGTTTTCCATAATGCTGTAGATACAGACTTTTCGCTGGCCAAGATCTGACTGGATAGATGATGGTCCTTACAGTAACTGACCGTCCTTGCTGTTGTAAAATGCTTTTCTTAGCATTAAGCTTTCACTTCAGCTGGAAAAAACGTGGAGAAGACAATGTCTCTGAGAAATGCTTTTTTTACATGCATACAGCTGAGGCTGGTTTTAGACACCATAATGAGATTTCTGTATTCAAGTAATTTAGTCTCTATGTAGTCAATTGGGAGAAACAGGCACTTATAGGGAGTCATTCATCCCATCCCACATTAGGAACCAAAAATAGGTCAAATGGCTTGTGTCCTAGAAATGCCGATTTCTCTCCATGGACTACAAAAAGAACCTGAGAGTGACTAATTGAGGCATAAAATGCTTCATGACACTTTGTTTCTGAGCAGATAAAACTCAAAAACCTGGTGGCTGAGCTAAGGTTCACTGTGATCAGCAGAAATCCTGCTTGGAGGTTTCGGATCACATCATGACTCTTAATGTAATTTTATGTGTTTGACCTGCAATGGTCAAGAAGAAAGGCCACCTTTTCTGACTGAAGCACTGCATGTCTCCTGTACAGCTGAAGCTAAAGCTACATAATGCCAATTGCTTATTGCTTATTTTGGTAGGGTAAATTTGGGGTTATTTTTGAAGCCATCACTGCTGCAGGTCTTGCAGGTGTTGACAGTGGCACACAGTATCAGTTCTTGGTTAGAAAAGAGGTTGGAACAGTCCCTTCCTGAGGCAAGCAGACTTTGTTGGTATTGCTTCATTCTTTTTGATTTGAGCCTTGGAAACATGTTGTACACCCACCTGCTATTTTAGCAAGTAGGTCTCAGAAACAAAGTGTCTCAGCTCACCATCATCTTCTGTCTCACTTGGAGGTACTAATGCAGGAACTGATTTCTTTCTGGGGTCTTCTCTTCCTCCACATGAAGGGATTCTCCCTTTTTTCACAACCCCTGTGTATTTCTCCACCAACTCAACACCTGATGGAAGGAAAAGGAAAGCATTACCACTAGTTACTCTGCTTTGGATCCATTTCCTCCTTGGCATCTAGAAAAATTTTAGGATAGAGGCTCTTAAAATGCTGTTCAAGGTCAAAAAAGATTCTGAATTTGAAATCTAGTGGCTGAAATGAGAAGAGCAAATGAGATGAGCTTGTCTTAACTTATCTTTTAAAAGTCTCAACACAAGGATTTACACCAGGGCTATTGGGTGAACTGTTTCTTTTTCCCATTGTCTCATGAAATATTTCCAAATTGTTTCTTTTTAGGTAGGTAGTTTAAGCTCAGAGGAGGAAAAAAGATAAATTGTGACATGTATTGCATGATATGATTGTATGTATTGATGTACTGTGTTTAGCTTTCAGATTTATTCCTTACTAAATACAGTGAAAGTTATTTTAAAAAATAAGAAACGCAATAATGAGGTGGAATAGTATGCCATAAGCCACAAGTGCCTAGCAGAATCATAGAATCATAGAATAATTAGGGTTGTAATACACATAGCTGACAAAAGCAAATTATCAAATTCTTTGTTCTCTTTCTCTGTATAGGTACATAAATGTTTAAGAACTAATGGTGATTATGAATGGAAAACTGCTGTATAGCCTTGAAATGCCTGAATGAACAGATGTTTAATCTGAGTAGTTTAACGTTTTCCCATAGTTGGAGCAGTTACAATGCTTTTGCAGTGCTCTGATCCACCCATACCCAAGTCCTCAGTACATTTTAACTAAACAAGCAAGATCTTTAAGAATGCAAATTCTCTCTCTCCTCATTTGAAACTCAAGCATCTAATGATTTAGTTTCAGGCTCTGAAGAGCTGTTACTGAAGTCCAATCTCCTTAGACTACGCAAATACATTTTTCTCTCTGGATTTGGTAATGTGTTGATTTCTGCCACTGCCTCTTACCCTTGTTTCTCCTTCCTCAGCTGTCTGCTCTGCAAGCCAAGGTGCATTATCTAAAGTTCCTCAGTGATCTACGGTTATATGGAGGCCGTGTTTTCAAGGCAATATTAGTGGTAATATCTCCCTTGAAATAGCCTCTCTCTTCTCTTGGGTTTTGTGTTGTTTTTTTTTTAATCCAGATGCTTTTTGCAGAAGCTGGAATATATCAGTTTCTTTAGAAGTTTGGGCTGTATTAATACACTTAAAAAAAATTGTTAATTAAGCCAAATCACTTTTTTTTTTTTTTCATCCTGAAAATAACATTCCTACTATAATTTCAATTTTGCTGGGGATTTAAAGATAGGTAGCATCTTTTTGGCAAATAGCACCATCCAGTTAACTATAGTATACTAAAAGTATTAGCCTGGAAAATCTTAATGACAAAGATTTTCTTTTACGAGAAGCAGGATCCATCCATCCGTCTGTTTCTCCATCCAACTATCCATCTAAAAATTAGAGTGTAGTCAATATCCAGCAGCAGATTCCTTTACTTTTTGTTTCTAATTATGAATCAAGTATGTTCTTGTGTATTATATCTTAGAAAAATTCAATAATCTTTACTGTAGAAATGCATGCAAATGTAGCTCCATGAAAATGAAAGAAGGTGGTGGCAATTTCTGCCACTATGCAGTACCTATCATGTTTTTTACTTTTATTTTTCTTCTTTTTTTTTCTAAAAGCAGGGAGAAAAGCGTTCAGAAGTGACTCTGTTAGTAGGGCCACGGTATGGAATCAGTCATGTGATAAACACCAAAACAAACTTGGTGGCTCTCCTGGCAGACTTCAGCCATGTGAACAGGATTGAGATGTTTACAGAAGACGAAAGCAATGTTAGAGTTGAGCTGCACGTCTTAGATGTAAAAGTAAGTTTGTGGTTGATTTATGTTGCTATAACATCTTTAAATAATGTTTTTGCCTTTGCGTATTTGATCAAGCTATACTGTTCTGAACATTTTCATGCCAATAATATTCGGAGGATGTGTTTTACTTCTTTTGTGTTCAGAGTGCACGTATAGTATGACTTGGGAATTTGAGAGGCCTACGGTGTACCAGACTGGTGCTTTGCAGTACTCATATTCTGTTCTGATTTTTCTCTTGGCTGACCCCAGGCAACTCACTTTGTTGTTGTCTTCCTTGATTTCCTTGGTGAGAAGAGGTTATGATGAAGTTGACCTTCTTTGAAGTTCATTGAGCCCCTAGAAGCTCCTTCTAGAATAACAGACTATATTATTGCCATTAGAGAATCACCAGCTTCAAAAGATCAATGTCCCCTGTAATTCAGTGTTTCATCTGCAAAGTTCACTGCAAGTAGCCACATAGCAGTTACCAATGAAATAAGCTGTAAAAAGGCTAATTTCTTTTCTTAGCCCATATAATTCCAGTTCAGTGCTTTGCGCTACATCATATATTCACAGATGCTCTTTATCTACCTATAGTAATTTAATTTTTCTTAAATCCCACTTAACACTTCGCATCTGTGCATTTAGTGGCATAATGATTGGAGTTTTGTATGTGTTATTTTCCTGTTTCCTCTTGGTGTGGTTTCTATTTGGTTTTGAAGTAAAAGGCTTCATAGATTGTCTACAGAATTAATCAGGATAATCAGAGATTGAAGGGAGAGTCCTGATTATACTTGATACTTAAGTATTCTATTAAAATGAATAGAGCCTAACAGTTCTTTTTGTTTACCCAGCTATACACAAAAATGCACAAGGAATATTTTTTTAAGCTTTTGCTTTAGGTTTATTGAGCTGGAAGAGTTTCCCTGTATTAATGAAAAAAAAATGCTGTAAATTAATCTAGATGCTCTTTGACAATAACTTAAGAGAAATGTAGAGGTTGGTGCACACAGCATCTCTTTCACCTTACTTAGCAGAGAGAACACCTGTGGATCTCTCAGGCTACTTTACCTGTGTTACTGTGCTAAACTCATAGCCCTCTTATCAGAAAGCTGTTATCACCTTTTTATGTATGGAGAAGGTAGCATAGAAACTAAATCCTTCCCATCTGCTTGTATGTAAAATGCAGAACTGTGTGCCATGGCGTTACATATTATCATGGTATTATGTAATTTTATATTATAATACTGTTACTGTCTTATTACAAACCACGTATATCTCGTCTCCCTGCATTTCAACACATGTCATCTTAAACCCAGGGAGACTGGCTTTTCACTTCCAAAATTTAGGAGGCTCTAGATGGAATTTAACAAAAATTTGCCTCTCTGTGGGGCACAAGTAAGAGTTGTTACTGTGTCCTGTTGCGGAGATGCAAACACATACAGGTAGGTATTCTCAGCTGATGCTTTCATCTCTTTGCTTACCCTAAGGAAGCAGGTTGATATATGCAGATTCTGGATATGCCAATATTTTCATAATGAATAAATGAATAAACAGTTAGGATTTTTATTTTATTTTTGGTTCTTTTTAATGTATTCTCAAGCATGTATCACTTGGCAGAAGCAGGCAGTAATAGTTTAGCTGTCATAGGACTGTATAAGAGATTAACAATAGCTCACAGCACTGTTTTCAGCAATCTGAGATTTCTGTGAAAATCATACATTTCTGTCCATCACTGCAGAAAATTTGAGATTAGCATTTCAAGTGTTATTTTTTAGTAGTCACTTGGAAGAACAGAGGTTAGTAAGTCCATTTCAGGTTTAATAATTTATAGTTAACTTTCACCGCTATGATTGAGTGCTTTAAAAGAAGCATGTATTGAAAGAACTCAAACTGTAGCACAAAAAACTTCAAAGAGGAAAAAAAAAGCATCATTTTTACCCTGATGCTGAAAACTGTTCACACAATATTCAGGGCACCTGGCATATTTTGGCCTAAGATACTGTAGCACAGGCATTTAAAAAAATTGTCAGACCTACCATGGGTTTGGTAGTAAGCTATGATCATCAGTTATGTTTTGGCCACAGCCTCCATCAGAATCAGTTGTCTTTTAAGTAGTAAGGGGTTGATTAATTTGGATAGCTGTCCTTGTTGCATGTAACATTCCTGCCATAAGAAATTATGCAGGTCCCTTCATCTGTCTTGTGACAGTGGGCTCTGCATGCTAAATTATTATAAATTGTCACAAATATCCACACAGCTATGACTATAAACTGTGACTGGTAAGATGGGTTGTCTACAGTGTAATTTCTGTATATATATATTGGTATGGGCTTCATTTTTCTTCCCTCTCTAGGAGCTGTAGAGGCTAGCCACCTTCAAATAAATTTGAGAGGAGCAGCTTTTGGTGTTAAAAGCTACAGAGACATGAACAAAAGCTTTAGGCAAATAATTTTATATATTGTGGCAAAAGAAAAGGGAATTAAAGGAAATACGTTTCATATGGATGTCTCAGGTTTGATGCTTGCTAGTCTGGCAGCCACAGTTTTTCAAAGCTCTGAGGTCTCTCATTTTTGTTAGGTCTGAATTTTTTTCTGAATGCTTTGAGTTAGTTTTCTTCGCTCATTTCCCTTCTGAGGATCTTTCGCCATTCTTTTTATCTCTGTTTATCTGCATATTTTTTCATCACATATTTTCAGTAATGCCAGGCCACAAACAAATCTTTTAAGCTGTCATTGAAATATTCACTGTCACTGCTATGTAATAATAGCTTTATCTAATTATTTAGATATTAATTTAGTTATTATCTAAATAATTAGATTTTTTTCTTCCTGTATCTTGCTTCTTTACATGTACTTAGGGCACCTCATCTCATTTTCTGGGAGGTTGCAGATTCCCATACCACTGAAAGACTCCGGTGCTTAATGAACCAGGTTCTTAGCCCTTGGCAGTTTCAAAGTAACAGTAAACTATGCTTTGGTGAGAATGTATCTATGCAAGGACAAGATGGAGCAAGAATCTTAAAATGGTTAGCTTCATTCAGAAAGAGAGCAAAATCAGCTGCTAGAACATCCAGTTGGACTTCTATCTTACTGCAACTCCAGTCTTTTCTAAATGTTTGATGCTGTTTGATATTGGTAGTGAGGAAAATAAGTTCTCATGTGTATTTTTGCATGTGGTGTTTGTGCTGTAATTCATTTTGCTTCCATGTAGTATTATTGTCAGCAGATAAACAGATTGAGGAGGAACAGCCTTAACCAAGACTTGGTTGTATTCTTCTTAGCCTATTACTCTATTGATGGAGTCATCAGATGCAATGAATCTTGCTTGCCTAACAGCTGGATACTACAGACTGCTGGTTGACTCAAGGCGCTCAATATTCAACATGGCCAACAAGAAAAATACAGGGAGCCGAGAAACAGGTATTCATTGTACACTATGCTGATGATGGTCCAGTGTATAAACCTGAAGCCAGCTTAAGTCGGTGCACCTCTGAGATCTGATTGCTGGCTCAGATCTAGCACCACAGTATGTAATTTCTGCTTTATAATGTTCTAATATTCAGCCTATTATAGCACATTCATGGCAAAATAAATCAGGTGACGAATTTCTTCCATACTGTGGTGAAACAGATGCATGCTCCCTATGAATGTTATTATTTCATATGCATATATCTTTTGTAGGGATACCTACAATGTTGGAGAAACCAGAATTTGATTGATTTGGATTTGTGTTACTCTTTTTGGAATAGCATTTGTACCTAGCTGAGGTTTAGTTCTGTGCTAAAGTTCAAATGTACCAGTTAAACTTTAGGTCATTAAATCAACATGTATTTAACTTAGAAGTGAGTTTGAAAGTGCTTTTGAAGTGTTTGATGGCTCAGCTGTCCTATTCATAGTATTTATTGCTCAGCATTAACAAGTCGTTTAAAAATAATGTGACTTTGCTCTTCAGTTTCATAATGCTGATTTTATTTCACCATGCTGTAGGAAATGAAAATAGAGGGAAGCATAATCTCCTTGCTTCTGAGTGGAATTGTATACCAAAAACTACCACTTTCCTGACTGAAGGAGATCAGGAGACTCAAATGTCCTTTGCTGATCCAAAACAGAAGACTGTAGATGTTTCTGAAAGTCTATTATGTCAAAAAGAACACAGACATCTGTATATAGAAAATACATATAATTCAGGTGGATTTGATCAGCATCTGGCCAAGCAAAGTGACACCACTGAAGCAGAAGAAAGCAGAAATTTTAATCAGCCTTCACTGCTGTCACTCTCAGGTCTGGAACCAAGCAAGAAAGCACAGGATTCCCCCAGGGGAGCAAAAGTTTCCTTTATATTTGGAGATCACAACTTGGATGGTATCAGTCCCCAGACTCTTGGCTATGAACGGCTTTTGGATGAAAGTCCAGAAGTATTAGAAAAACAAAGAGCCATTTATATTAGTAATGCCAATGACATTAAAGGCCTGGAGTTGTCACCAGATGCTGAAAGCATTCAGTTCGCTACAAATGCTGTTTACGCAACTATAAATGATGGTAAAATATTTGGAGCTGCGGAGGGGATAGAAGAGCCTTTGCTGCATGATATTTGTTATGCAGAAAATACAGATGATGCTGAAGATGAAGATGAAGTAAGCTGTGAAGAAGACATTATGGTAGGAGAAATCAATAGGCCTGCTCTTCTCAGCCTTTCTGGTTCTAGTGATGACATTATTGATTTGACTTCACTTCCACCTCCTGAAGGTGACGATAATGAAGATGATTTCCTATTGCATACCTTAAACATGGCCATTGCTGCTCCTCCACCTGGCTTCAGGGACAGTTCAGATGAGGAAGACTCTCATAATCAAGCAACACAGCCTAGAGACAACAAGGAGCAAGCCAATAATCTAGGCAGTGATGACATTCCAGTGTCGCTTATCGATGCTGTCCCTACTAATACAGAGGGGAAGTGTGAGAAGGGGCTAGATGATGCTGTAGTCTCTACACTTCAAGCACTAGAAGCTTTGGCTGCTTCAGAGGAACAGCAGACGAATGACAATTCAGGTTCTTTCACCATAGTTACGTTTATTCATTGAAAATCATTTCATCTCATCCATTTAGCTTTGGAAATACTTCATTTCATGAGGGTTGGTTGGTTTTTTTCCTTTGGTTTTCCTTCTTTTTTTTTTTTTTCACATCATTTTCCGTACATCATATTCCATAATATTTAATGGAACTACCATTACATTATTAAACTACCTGTCTCGGGAACTGTGCAATAAAGTCAGCGTATTTTTACAAAGCATATTTTTGTCTCTAACACACCCCCTTTGCTTGTCACTTATCCAGGTGCTTCAGCTGCTGTCATTTAATTGACTCTTTATTTTTTGTGGCTTGCAGGTGTAGCTATCCTGCGAGCATATAGTCCTGAGTCATCTTCCGATTCTGGCAATGAAACAAATTCCTCTGAAATGACTGAAAGCTCTGAACTAGCCGCGGCACAGAAACAGTCAGAAAACACTGCACGTATGTTTTTGACCACAAGTGAAGGCTACCAACCCCTTGTGGAAGAGCAGACTGAATTTACCATGGCTAAAAATCAGGCTGGAGGGCCAGGCATGAAGCCCTCACAGCCTTTGGCTGGTCGTCAGGCTGCAGAGCTACAGTCAAAAGTTGTGCCTTCAAAGCAGATTCTTCATTCAGATAACATGGAAATGGAGCCAGAGACCATGGAAACAAAATCTGTCACTGATTACTTTAGTAAATTGCACATGGGATCCTTGGTATATTCTTGCACTAGTAAAAGGAAAAATAAGATGACAGACAGCGAAGTAAAAGCATCCTCTGATGGCAATGCTACTGTGAAAAAGCCACAAGGAACTAAAAAAGCAGAGACTGATGAAGATCTAAAAGCTAAATTTGGAACTCTTTCAGCAAGAGACAGTCAACGCCTAAGCACTTTTAACGTGGAAAGAACTGCCTTTCGCCAAAGATGGTACGCTGATGATGATGGGGCAGCAGATAAGCCAAGCTCAGAAACAGTGAACGGGAAGACATTTCCAAGAGTTCCTGTGCTTGGTAAAACAGAAACTGACTGCAAGGATGAAGTGGATCCTGAGGTGGATCAGGATGATACCTCGGGGCTTAGCCAAGGTGAAAACTTTCTGTCAGATATAACTCCTGTGTCTTCAGCCAAAGACCTAAATGATGCAGAAGATACTGATTTGTCTGCAGATGACCATCCTTCAAAGCTTCCAGAAGCTGAGCAGAGCGTGGCTAGACTTTGCGAATATCACTTGGCTAAGCGCATGTCATCTCTGCAAAGTGAAGGCCATTTCTCACTGCAAAGCTCTCAGTGCTCTTCAGTGGATGCAGGATGCAGCACAGGCAGTAGCACGTGTGCTACCCCTGTTGAATCTCCTCTTTGTACTTCTGATGTTAAGCACATTATCTCTGATCCATCAATGAAGGGCATTGCCTATATTCCAGCAGATGAAAGAGCTGCCATTCTTCCAAAACATGGAACGACATACAAGGACCTGCACCAGCAGCCCGAAGCCGTGTGTCACAGAATGACAGTGCCTGTAGTGCATTCAGCAATTAATGCTGAACCACTGTTCGGCACTTTGAGAGAAGGATGTCATCGGATCCCCAAGATAAAGGAAACCACAGGTACAGCAGTAATAAAGTGTTTCTTACTTTTGTTTTTAAAGCTACATGGTAATGTTGAGGACTAGTTGAGATGTTTGTATTATCTTTACCTGAAACTACGTCATCAAGCTGTAGCAGCCAGTGGGATTAGACCTTTGGTGTATCTATTCATTTTACTTGTACACATTGAGGTATTCTTATGAGCTGCTTACAAGGATCAATTTTTTAAAAACCCTCTCATTACAGTTAAAACTTTTGGGGGGGGCACTCTCTTACACTCTTTGGAAGCCTCTTCAAAATCCATTGTCATTTGAGTTCCAGGATACTTTTTAGATTACAAAATGACTTTGCAACATATATTAACGTAGGAGAGAAAAGACTGTGATTCATTTATTATCTCTTAGGTGCTTTTTTAGCAGATTGTCAAAAACATGCCAGTATGAATAAAAAAGCTGTAAATGTACAGATAAGAAAATGTCACTATCTTATTAAGTGTGTATTTGCTTCACCATCTGACAGTAGGTGTTTCCTTAAAGAATAATTTACATATAGAATCATTACTGTATTTTTAAGTTCCAATTTCAAGAGATTTTATGAACTTACAAAAAAAAAAAAAAAAAAAACACAAAGTTTTTCAGAGATAGCATTGGAAATTCTTTCAATTGGGTTTTAAATATTTCTCTCTTCCTGGGCTGCAACCTACATGTAGCAGTAATGTGTGAATGCATAAAAATCCGAAAGTAGAACAGACTAGGAGCTAGAATGAAAAGTGTTAATTCTCTGCCAAAAAAGCCCACATAACCAAACCAAAATTACCATGAATGCATCTTTCCATACCCTCTCAGGTACAGTTAAAGAAAGTATTTTAATCTGAAAATATTTATCTAATTACTTAATAGATATCATGCAATCAATATATTGGTGAAGACACAGGTTGTTTTCTAAGTTATTTTTTATTCCTTTTTTAAAACAAGTCTGTTGTAGTGGAATGAACAATTAATTATTCATAAGATATAATTTGTTGATAGATTTTAAGAGGCATCTTAGTGAACTACAAATGACATGAACTAGCAATGAGTTTTTTGTGAAATATTTTGAGGAATGGAGACCATTGGGAAATAACCAGGAATCCATTTGTCTTGACTATTAAAGATATTTAAAACTCAGTTTCTGAATATTGTCAGGATGATGCTTAATTATTCTGTCTGCTCTTCTACTACCCCTAGTGTAGCTTTCACAGAGCCTGAGAAGGGAAGACAAGGAGGCATGCCTACAGCTTTTCCTAGACAGCCTCTAGCTGACTCCATCATGCTATCATCCATGCTATCAGAATCAAAGGTGCCAAGTCAAAATCAAGACTCTTGTGATATTCCCAAAGTAAATCAGTCTTGTGGAGCAACAGTTAGTTTACGGCCATATGACATGATAGGAGGAAGCCTCAGGATGCCGCACAACAGGAAAGTGCTGAGACGCAGCAGCAGCATCATTGGAGCATCTGCAAGTGTTGAGATGCTGTTTGAAAAGAAGGCAGCCGCAGATAGCTTGAAATGCCTGGACATCACCCGAAGGGACGAATCCAAATCAGGGAGAAGTGTGGAACTCTCCCTGGGCAAAAAGCTGTCAAAAAGTTATTCCCAGAGTTGTGTATATGTCAGCACTGACAGGAAGGACAGTAAGAGGTGTTCAGGCACAGGCACCAGTCAGAAGGACTCTAAGCAGTGTCGAACATTACCCTTGCGGAAGCTGGACACCAGTGCCTGGAGGTGTCGTGGCCCCTTTAGCTATTGTTTCCTAAGCAGAGGAAACGATGACAATGATGATGAAGATGACCAAGACAGCCATCAGCTCTCATGTCTCTTTGAACAGCAGATCCCGTGTGAGCTCACAGAACCAGTTGGTCAGTCATTTTCTAGAGAAAATGATCAGAAAGCCTTGGAGTCCCTGCAGGCTGCTGAGCCCCCACAAGATGTGTCAGTTAATGCACATGAGGAGAGCAGTGCTGACATCCAAGGTGGCCAAATTGATGTGAATCTCAGTGATGTGGCCTTCGATGCACGAATCACACGAATAAATGTGATGAAAGACAAGACGTATGCAATGCCTGATGGATTTATTGCAGCACAAAAGGATGCCAATGAGCTACTCTCATTGGTCCGAGAAAGTATGGGCAAGAGGGAAGATTTACATCCAGAAACATATGACCTTAAACTTTCTAAGTACAAACAACTGTTATCTATGGAATCGAGACAGTTGGGAAGTGCCTGCAGGAAAATGGCCATGGCTGATAAAAGCCCTGAGGAAATGCTTTTAGCTATGACTTCCAGCTTTCAAGTACTCTGTTGCTTAACAGAAGCCTGCATGCGTTTAGTTAAAGTCATGAACTCTGAAACACAGCAGCAGGAAATTATAGCTAAGATAGATGAGGTTGTAATAAACTACATTTGTCTTCTAAAGGCTGCAGAAGCAGTGTCAGGCAAGACCTCCAGTGATCCTAGCATTAAACTCTTGGCTCGACATTCGACTACCATGGCCGCTATTGTAAGCACACTAACACGTTCTCTTAAGATGCTTTTAAACAAATAAAATACAAATGTCACTTCATAATCTACCTTTGCAAAGCCATACATAAAAAACTTTTATTTACTGTATGTGTATGAACTAATGTAACAAACTCAGCTTTCTCTGTATATTTTGTTATTTTATATAAAATAGATATGAGATTTAAAAAGAAAGTTAAAATACTGAACACTGACAAAAGTAATGACCAGATCTGTCCTTCCGTTTATACAAAAACAAAAGCCAAAAAACCCTCTCCCCAAGACCAGAAAAACAAGCAGAAAAAATCCCACATAGGAGCAGATTGATGTTTGGCTATTTTTCATATAGTCAAATTCATGCTTGTATGAAGTGAACTTTTAAAGCCTGTTATGTCAATTAAGTTGTTTTCTGTTTCATCCAAGTTTTCACTTGGAGAATGCTCCATGTTTAGAAATGAGAAATTAAATCATAATGTATATAACACAATATTTAATGTTTTAAAATTATAATTTTTAAGCATTGAAAATAGCAAAAAGACACTTAAAATCCAAGAGACTATTATAACTTACTAGAGAATATATATATAATAAATGACTCTTTTGTTCATATGGCCTGAATTACCTGGTTCTTCTTTTCTAGGAAATTCTGTATTTAAAAAAAAAAAAAAAGTATAAAAAATACCAACTTCAGAGGGTATCTGCTGTATTTAACATTAGTACTGGCATTTTAGATAGTGAGGGTAACTGTGGAAGTATGAGGACACAGAAACCAGAGTGGTGGTGGTGTTCTTTCTGAACTGATTGATGCCATACTGGCCAGACCGAAATATATAGGGCAGGTCTACAAACTCCTTTCCCTGCTAAATGAGAGGACCATCAGGAGATTACTGTGCTGTTTACTGTTTCATCATATACCTATGGTGCATCTGAACAACATGAACTGCATCTATTTTGTTAAATATTTTATACTTCATATTTTATGATTCTGAATGTTTAACTGTAAATAAGTTAGAAATAAAATGAAGTTTTCAGAATACAATAAATATCTCTGAAATATTTCCAGCTAGAGACAGTTCTTCTCTGAGTGATGACAAAGGCGATTTGTGAATAATCTTTCTCATCTGAACCTTTCTGGAAAACATTTAGTAGTCTTGTGTTTGAGAGCCAAAGCAATAGCTCTCTGTTTTACCTAGCAGATAGGCTCTCACAAGCGCATCTAAACTTTTCAGTCACCAAGGAGCAGCAACCCTTGTGGAAAGTGCAGAATACCCTTCTGCAAACTGATGTAGGTAATTTTTATCAGTCTCTCATAATGTCACATGCAAAGAGTATAACTGCTCTCTTTTGAGAACTTACCCATTCAGTTGAAGCAGGTGTGACGCTTCCTGTGCTGAGCTAGAAAGACTAACCAAACAAAATTAAGTTTTTGCCAGGAAATATTTTCTTGCGTAGAGTGAAGCACTTCACTATGAAAACAAGTTGTGCTCTTTCCTCCAACTTCAGAGAAACATCTTCAGAAACAGTATCAGAAGCTTAATCTGTTGTTTGTAGGAGAAAAATCTGGTTTCCCATTCAGTTAGCATGTGGATCCACTCTTGAGAGCAGCTCCAAGCTATGCTGCAGGCTGAATTACTCTGGTGGTGGGTGACAACAGCCCATACCATGTGGTGCTCACACTCAGTTGCTGTCACTCCAACAGCCCAGAGAGTGGGGTTGTGTGTGCTGCTCTTTTGCTGCAAGTAACAGTGAAATTCTTGCTGTGGTTTTCAAGTACGTCATACTGGGGAAGAAACAAGCTGAACTGTTGTACGGGTATGTATTCCTTGACTGTTTTGTGAGTTTATGTTAAAATGTTGGCAGTGATTTATAAATACCAAGTTTCAGAAGAAGGAATGTTACAACTAAACATCAACATAGATCATATGGAGGTGACACTTTCAGGGGTGCTAGTCCGGTCCTTTTCATTCCACTCCATTTCAAAAATTGATCTAATTTTATTTCAAAGGTAAGTGTATTTTTGTTGTCCGTACTGTTTAAGAACTTTCCTGACCTACTCACTTTGCTTCCTAAAGTTAACTATGGTCTGGTTTTGTGGCAGTATTTTTTAGGTTTAACTAGTGGGGTATTTTTCCTCTGCTTTTTGATGCATTTTTATAGAATCATAGAATAATTTGGGTTGTAAGGAGTTCATCTAGTCTAACCCTTGCTCAAAACAGATCTATTCAGATCAGGCTGATAGGGCTGTTTCAAGTTGAGTCTTGAGCACTTTCCAAGGATGGAGGTCCCACAACCTCTCTTGGCACAAATATGTTACCATATTTGACAGTTATGGTTAAAAAATAAAAATTCTTTATGTCTGTAACCAGAATATTTGATTTGCCAGCAACACCCATTTTCTTTCATCATATCACTCTGCATTCTTTATAAGAGTTGAACTCTGTTTTCCCTGGTATCCTCCACCAGGTAGAATACCAGGTACTGCAATAACATCTCCTCTGAGTCTTCTCTCCTCCAAGCTGAATAAAACCAGTTCCTTCAGACTTTCCTTGTATATCATGAGATCCAGCCCTGGCCCGGCAAGGTGATCCTCCACTGGACTCACCGGTGTGACTTCATAAGCCATCTCCATGTTCCTGTCTCAGTTTTGATTAATAGGATCATCTAGCCAAGCTCTCCAAGTCACCACTTAGAAGGCAACTTCTCTTTACCTCCAGGATTTCAGATATAGCCATCCAGTACCCTGTGAATGTCTTCTTATGTAATCTTTATACACAAAATTATATGCAGGCTTTTACATGCTGCCTTCTGAGGACTTTGTACAATTGCACAGCTGGTGGAAATCAGAATCACATGTATTCGCAGGTATATTATGTAGGGGTCTCACAATCATTCTTTGTCAGGAAGTATTTTCATCTTTCTTGTGGGCTCCAAGGAGACCCTTATTGCAGCCTTTCAGCAGCTGAAGGGAGCTTATAAGAAGGCTGAGGACAGACTTTTTAGCAGGTCCTGTCATGATAGGTAATGGGTTTAAACTGAAAGAGGGTAAATTAAGACTAGGTACAAGGAAGAAATTTTTTACAGTGATGGTACTGAAACACTGGCACAGGTTGCCCAGAGAGGTGGTGGGTGCTTCATCCCTGGAAACATTCAAGGCCAGGCTGGATGTGGCTCTGAGAAACCTGATCTAATTGAAGATGTCCCTGCTCATTGCAGGGAGGTTGGATTAGATGACCTTCCAACCCAAATGATTCTATAATTCTATGATTCTGCATGTCCTGACCAGCTAAGGAGATCCCTAGATGATAATAGAGATAACTGTTCATAATTCTGAAGTGTATGACCTTGCACATCATTTGCTACTGAATTGTAACCTATTTCTGTTAATCTTCAGCATTAAGGTGTCCTTGTCTTCCTATGTGGAATCCTAATTTATTCCTGCATTACTTGTATGTCTCACCTTTGTGTCCTCAGGAAATGTCATCACTATGTACCTACTTCTTGCACTACATCAGTAAAGAAACACTAAAAAAGATACTGTCATGTGGAATATACTATACTTTTAAACATTTTTGGTATATACACTGTGTGTTTAGTGATTTTTTAACTCAATAGAATGACAGGCATCTTCATCTTTTAAGTCCCTGAGTTCAGGCCATTTTCTAAAATAACATTTGGCAAAGTTTGCCATTTTGAAATTAAGACACAAAGTTGCATACCTGTATTTATTTTCCTTCTATTTAACTGCAACTCCAACAATTCATGATAACTGGAAGATGCAGAATGCTCTGTGATGTCCTCACTGCTCACTACAGATATGTAATACTCACACTAGCGTATTATTTGAGGCTGAGAAATGGGCTCCTGAGTAACTCTGTCACTTACATAGTTTATATCTGAGAGACAACTATGACTTCATTGAAATCCAATTAAAGTTAATTGTATTTAGATTTGAAATATATCTTGTCACATGTATAAGAGATGCCTTTACTGCTTCAGAATAAGGCATACTCCTGTGTGATCCCTTTGCCATACTTTTAAAAGTGAAATGGGAGGGCATCAGGAGCTTGGATAGTAGCTTAAGAAGCAAAGAAAGCCTCTTCTCATATGTTGAGGCCAAACCCACAAAATGCTAACATTGGCTAAGTTGGAATTATGATGCAACCAGAAATGGTTTTCCTAAGACTTCTGTTCTTCTCCCTACCCTTTCTATTATGACAAGATGAAGGCAGGACCTCTCAATCCAAGTGATCAAAGGATTACTGCGTAGACAAAGTCCCTAAATCAGCACTGCTGTTCCTTAAGTATGAGAACTTTTTTGCGGTGGCAGCATCAAGGCACTTTCTGCTGGGGAATAAATCTTATTTTCTCTACCTTTCTAAGAAGTAGCATTAGATTTGTTCCCTCTGGGTTTGGCCGTCCGTTTGGGCAACAGGATCAAAGAGGGACTGGGCAAAGGACTGAGAGCTTCACATCAGTATCAGAGTTCCACTTCATCTGAACTGCATGCAAGGCTTTCCATCACATCTGAAGGTGTTCATGCAAGTGAGGACTTCACCACTCAACTATCCTTTTTTAAACTTGTTGACCTGGAAAACAAAAAAAACCCAAAAACCTGAATGGTTTTTCTTTCTCTCTTCCAGAATGTGATTAGCCCTTTAACAGAGGGTCACAGAGACCTACACTCATTTCTTAGTAGTCCACCTGCCAGGCCCTGCCCAATTTTCTCAAAAAGTTTGTCTGATTTCTGCCAGTGGATGTGTCCTGGTTTCAGCTGGGATAGGGTTAATTTCCTTCTGAGTCTCCTCCCCACCCCATGGGGGAAGAGTGTGAGCAAGTGACTGCCTCGTGTTTAGTTGCTGGCTGGGGTTAAAACCGTGACAGTCTATCAGGAATACACTGATATATCAACTGAGAAACAGTCTGTCCCCCACAGCACTAATTTCATTCTTTCTTGAACACTCATTCATGTGTCTTCAACGCTTTCATGAGAGAAGTTCAGCAATCTGCCTCTTGGACAATTCCCTGATAAGTGTGGGTAAAGGTTATTCTCCAGGCCCTGTGTCCCCTTTTTCAACCAAGGCAAGACAGGATGAAAGATAAGCATCTGCAGTGGTGGGGCATGCTTTTAGTATCAAGGCCCCCTCCCTTTCTCAGAGGCTTCTGCTGTACTTATTGCAGAATGTGGGCCAGAATGTGGATGATCTCTGTGTCTTTAAATGCTTTTCTCCATGCTGCAGATGCAGGAAGGCTCACTCTTTCAGCACTCCTTTCTCTCTCTTGTCAGAGACAGCCTTATAAGTAATGGCAGTGAATGTATGTTATTAACTAGGTTAGGCTTTTGGGTTGATGTGTTTGTCGGTCTTCTTCCCCATCCTGTCTATTCAGACTGTTCTGAGTTACCTGCTCAAAAGGAAGCAATCTGGTCCTTCATTCTAAGTCCCTTACCCTTACTGAAGTCTAACATCTGTCTCAGCCAACTCAACCTTGAGTCTAATATTATCAAAATCTTTCGCTCGACCAGGCAAATGAGTTATGAGAATCTGAATTTGGTGTTCCATGTTCTCATGGATGGATTCTTCTTCTTCAAAAGATGTGTCTCTCTTTGTTGTCATCTTCTCTGTTAGAAAAATGAAAAAAATTCATACCCCTGTAATTCCTTCTTTGACCTTAATCTTCAAAGACAGACCAGCTCTTAAGATGCAGCCATCATTTTTGTGGAAGGTGGTATCTTAATGTTGCTTTGATTTGTTTGTTTTTCTTCATATTCCTTGTGTTTCTAAGAAACATGCCTTATTTTGTATCTTTAATAGCAAAACAGCTCCCTTTACATTTGTAGTCTAGACTTTCTCAGAACATATAGACTATGTATATCTGTGACAGATCCAGTGGTTATCTAGATGGATGGTTCGTATTTCAGTATTTGCTATAAAACTTAGGAATTGATAACTTCCAACTGCATGTACAGCTTGTGTGAGACTGTTGAGCAACTGAACTGCTATATATCTACTATTCTTTCCCCAAGCATTGTGCCATCCCTGATGAGCTACCTCAAGAGCTGCCACAGCACTTGCTAGAGTCATCTAGAAGTGCTGTTTCCATGAGAGGTATCAAGAACCTCTGCTAGATAGCTTATGACACGTAGTTGGGTAAAGTCACACCATGTAAACAAACATATGGATATTAATTTGAGAATGAAAAAAGACATCCTGAGCTATATTAGCAGGGTTTCCTTCAGTGTTTTAGATGGTGTCTCTGGATGAGAAATAATTAAAATGTTTTATGGCATGCTGTGTTTTTTATGCCTTTGTGCCAAAGGTGATGACAACAGTGTGAATACATCCTTCATGATAACCTCAAAAGGAAAATCTCTGCATGCTGGAGTGATAAGGCGTAGGACAGATTTATTTATAGACCATGCTTTCTAAAGAAGACTAATTACTGGTAAGTTATGTTTCTTTCTCAATGGCCAATCTCTGTTTTACCTGTGAATTACCACTGAAGGATAATGGGACAGCAGTCTGTATCAACAAAGATGGAATTGAACAAAGGGCCAAAAGAAGATAGTTGCCTCTAATACAGAATTTGCAGAGAACTGCTAACAATAATTATAAAAAATATTTTTATCATTATTTGATATACAGGAGACACTTGACATGTTACAAAATGTGTTTTACAGTGGTTTTTAAGTAGCTCTTTGGAGACAAAAGATGTCTTCTAAAACCTTTTCGGCAGTGTATTGCAAGATTATTCCATATTGCCGATGCCTTTAAAATGATAACATGGGGTGACAGTAAATGTCATCAATAGCTTTACCCTTGAAATAGGTTTCTTTCTTGTGCTAAACTGTAAGTTTGTTTGTAGGACAGGTTTGAAAGTGGTGTATTGAGATATTAATAGTGACAACCTGAAGACTTAAGCCAGCTAGCACTCCAGGCTTTGGTTTCAGTAGAACTGTTGAGTTCCTTATATTAGGAGGTCTCCCAGTGTGCATGGAAGGACATGATCTTAGCACTGCCTCATGGGAATCCCATTTTCCAGATGGCCAGGACTGGTTTTCTGAAAGAGATGCCAAAGGATATAGTTGTACTTTGTTTTTTTCATTGCCTGTGAAGTGGCCACAGGTGCAGCTGAGGATCTGTTCTGCCCCTGAGTCAACAATGCAGAGGTCATGGATGCCTGAAGAATTTCCCAGTCTGAAGTTTTGCTGAGACCAATCATCTTGTCATCCTTTCTGCGATTTCTGGTACCTCTTGAATCCTCATGGACAGCCCAGAGAACCAACGAAAGAACAACCCAACATCAAACTTCTCTTAGTACCTAGACACATGCATACTTCTCCATCTTATCTTCAACTGCTTTCTGCAGCAAGAGCAGAAGAACTGCTTGTGCTCCGAGTTCTAGCCCAAAATCACCATGTTTCAGTAGAAAGCTTTAAAGCTTTCCAGTCCTATTCAATACTTATTTTAGGTCTTCTGCTCCAGGTCATTTCTACAAGCAAATAAATTATAGGCACAAATGTTGTACAGTCAATTGTACAGCTGATATTCTCCTTAATAATGCTGAACCATCACTGCCTGAGGCAGCCAGATGTACCTTATAACTTACTTCAGTTTCAACAAATGTCTACAAACATAGCTACCTATGGAGGACACTACTTGGGTTAGATACTTAATTACAAGCTATTTATCATACTAAATTATTGCTTTTTATAACTGTGATTTCAATTTTCTTTCATACATTGATGATATTTATATTCGATACTTCTTGTTTTACAGTTTTTCACCCACCAGACTTTGCTATTTCCTATTTTATTCCTCCTCCTTTTAATTGTTAACTTTTTTATGCTTGAAAGCCATGCCTTAAAAAGAGATGCATTGGGTATGTTTCTCGTAAAGGATGCTTCACGGGGTTTGCTTTTAAAAGCAGTTCCTGCCTTCTTTAGAAAATGTTTACTGCAGCATCTTCTCTTTAAATCACTGAGTCAGAATCTAAAAAGAAAATCTTCTTTAAATATATGGAAGAACTATGAGAGTAAGGCAGCAAAGCATGCCTTGAGGAGTCAGGAAGGATAAGTATTCACCAGAACAAACAAGGACGTGCCTTTCAGCTGCTTCACTTGTACACTGATTGAACTTCAGGTAAAATACAGTGTCTGAAAAAAACCCGACCTTTGCCTCTGGAGGCACTTCTGTGGAGATTCCTGCCAGCATTCCCTCCAGAAGGAGAAAGTTGCATCTCGTGGAAAGGTCCAGGGACTTCCACTGAAACTCAAGAATGTCATGAGGAGCCTTGGACAAGGGAAGTGTCTCTGTGGAGGCAGCCTGCTCAGCCCATGTGGATCTGCTTGTGGCATAAAGGTGAGATTACAAATTAAATCCTTTTTCACATTTTATAAAGTCATTTCAAATGGTGCTGTTCTTCCTCCTGAATGAATTTCTCCTGGCAGCCTTACTGATTTCAAACAAACAGAAAATTTGATATTTTCTCTCCTTTCTCTTGCTGTATGAAAGACCACATAAATGAGTAAATTAACTACTGCATGATAAAAAAACCAACCCTGATTCTACACAAAGGCTTGTCTTGCATGTAAAACAATGCATCAGTACAGTCAGTGTAGGTTTGAGGGCTCCTTTAACAACTGTAGTATTATGAGTAAAAATTGTTGAAAGAAACTTAATTTTGTGTAGCTGACTTACCTACTTCAGAATATCTGAAGATACTCTGGTCTATGTTTTGGTGGGGTTTTTTTATTTCCTAATTTTTTATTTTTCCTTCCCTGCTTTTGAAATTCATGAAAATGCCTTTTTATTTGCAAAGCTTGTTGAAAAGGAATCTTATTTCAAATTACATTATTCTTCCTGAATGTTCTTATTTGTACTTCATAAGTTAATCACGAACACATTGGGAGTCTTTTTCCTTGCAGAATACTTTGTACTGCTTATACCTCTGATGTCCACAGGACCTCTGGATTGAAATCTGCCTTCTTCTCACTGAGTGTAGTTGTTTCTTCTCAATGCAGAAAAGCAGAATCAAGACTCCTCTTGAAAGCACCTGCGGTTTTGATAGTGTTTATTTTTGTAGACAGCTGTTCCAGAAGATCACTGATGTAAGGTTTTGGGACCTGGCTTTAATTTCTAACCAAAGCCTAGGATAAAAGGCTAGTTGTAATATTTAAATAGTTCTTTTTTGTCATTGATGCTTGTACATCAAATTCCAGATGAGATCTGACCCATCTTTATATAGTGGTATTATTACTTCTCTATCTGTGGAAACTTTCTTATATGACACATCATAAGATCCCATTTGTCTTTCATGCCTGAAGCACGCTGGTGGCTTAGAGTCATTCTGTGAATTACTAGTATGCTCAGTCTTTCTCCTCAGTCAATTAAAACTGATGAACTCCTAAGTTACAGTGGACCTTTTTTCTGTCCCCAGGGTAGAATTCATCTTGTTTGACTTTAGTTGTCTAAATGCTGGGTGTCAGGTATAAATCACCTAAACACTCTCTACAGTCAATGCAGGAAGAGAAAGAGGCATTTCAAAAGGCACATTCAGTTATATCTGAGATAAATCACCCCCTGGGTGTGCCTTTTACTCTCTTTCTATTGATAACATAGAGAGCCTAGACAACCAGCTCAGTCTCAGTGGTGAATACAGGGAGATGAAGATTTCCTTCTTTGCCCACCCCCCCTCCCCCCCCAACTATCTTCACACTGTGCAGTTTTGAATTTTAATTCACATTGATTAGTGTTTGTCAAGGTCATCTATTCTACACTTTTGCTAGTGACATCTGATGATGATGCTTGCCATCTCTGAATTAACAAAGTGCTTTAAAAGGCATGAAGTACACTGGTACTCCAGAAGACGTGTTCTTCATGTGCAGCTATTCCCAGTATCTGTTTGAGGATGTTTTTTAGCAAGTTAGACCACATATCTCAGCTTTTTGGACTTTTTCCCTGTCTAATTGTTTGCCTTATTTATACTCATATTTCTTAATGCTTTGCTTACAAAGTTTTAATACACTGTGAGAATTTATGAGAACATTTTGCCAAAGTTGCTGTTACTGGAGAAATTTCTGTGGTCACTTTTCGTATATTTCATGCCAAATAATTCTGAACTTAGTTTCTTTTGTTTGATCTTTCTGCTGATTTAAGATTAAACAGAATATTAATTCCACCAAAGGTACTTTGGAATGAAGCTACACCTTAATTTAGCAGCAAACAGTAAGGAACAGTTTCTTAACTGTAATATAAAGAACTTGCAATATTAAAGGTTTACTTTGATGATACTCCACAACTTGATGTTGATTTTATTTTGGCACCATCATGCCTGTGCTGATTTGAATCAGGATGTGCCAACCTTTTCAGTCGTTCTGAGTGAGCTCCAGTACTGTCTGCCAGAGCTCCTTGTACGTGTACAACACACTGCCTCTCTAAGCACTGTGTACCATCAGTGTTGGAGGTAAAGCACTGAGCTTTGGTAGCCAGAAAAGGAGTGTTTAGGTTCTGTAAATCTCAGTATTCTGTTCAGCATCAAACTTAAGTAGGAACGATTAGATTAACAGCACTTCATAATTGTTTACAGTTTAACAATAGATCTTTCTGAATCCTCATTAGTATTTGCATAGAAATTACATAAATTGTATTTTGCAAAATTTAGAGTGGGCAGGATTCCTAACTGCATCTTCTCATGTTTCTAAATCCTGGATCAAGTAAATTGCAATTCAGTATTAGTAAATAATACCAGTAATAAATAGTAGGAAAAAAGGCAGATGGAGAATGTGAAGCATTATTTCAGGAATAGTTTTAAATGAGAAGTCAAAAGACTATTTCACTTTTCTTAAGCAAATGCCATGTTTTTTCTTAGAACATATGTTGATAATTTGGCAGAGGTTCATAAAACCCTTTCATAGTTCTTACATTCTGATTCAGAAGCTGAGTTCTTTTACAAATGAATCTCACAATCTCAGATGGGCCATTTTATGGGATTATATCAGCTGTTTGTTTACAATTATTGTTCAGGATACCAATCAATTTCTATGAAACTATTCATTTTGCATATTCACAGCTTTCTTTAAATTTCTTTCTCAGTTCAAAATGGCCAAATACGGTGTCTACCTGGAGGTTAGACTCTTTTAAAAGATGTGAGTTTATTGACAAAGAGCAAAGTACATTTTGATGGGTTTTAAATATTCTGCCAGCAGTTCAGAAAAGAACTACATCAGAAGCAATCCAGATACATTCACTCTTTACTTTGAATGTGCATCATCAGTGATGTCAGTGGGACTCTAGTAAAACAGTTGTTAATTAACTTATGTCCCTTCTTTTGGCACTGCAGAATAAAGGCACAAAATGTTGTAGAAGCAACCTGAAGAGCAAACATTAGTTTGTTTGTTTCTTTATTAATAATTTATCTTGAAATGTTAATGATATTTTAAAGTTATCGAAATCTCCCAACCTGTGGCAACATTTCTAGGACTGGACCCCAGTAATCTTGCTCCATCTGGATCATTGTGATACAAGAATTAATGTAAGACTTGCTTCTGCAAACATTCCTGACATAGCACAGTCAGTTGTGGCTGGCAGGTTAGGCTGACGGTGTCCTTTTGAAATATACCTTTAAAAACAGAAAAGAAAGAAGCTGACCTAAAATTACATTAATTTTAATTAATTCTCACTGAAGATGTTTTATGAGCTCTCTTGCATGCAAACAGACAAGATAGTGATGGTTCATATATAAAGATCAGGAAGTAAAATAGACACCTGAAATCCCCCTAAATCCCCTTATAATTCTTATCAAATTTGTTAGAATCTTGCATGAAACAGATATCATTTTAACATCCTTAATTTAGTAAGGTCAGTTGCTTTGTGAGTCAATAATTGTTTCTTTAATTTAAAACAAAGGCCACCACTTGCCTGTTTAGATTTCAGTTAGTGAAAGGTGTTCTAGTGTCAGCACAGAGATTTGTTTTACATCAGTAGAAAGCAGAAGCTTTTTCTTCTGTTCTTCAAAGGGAGAACTATAGAGAGTGCTGTGTGCCATCCTAGAAACAGCAACATGTCAAACTCCTCTGATAGACAACAGAGGATCCCATTCTGTACGGCCATATCTGGTTACTTGGTTACTATCTTCCTCATGTAGCTTTTCTTTCTACATGTCCAGCTTCATACACCGCTTGACATCCCAGTGCCTGTGTGTTGAGCAAGAGTGCTGGGGAAATTACGCATATGGGAAAGGGCAATATAAATTTTGCAGAGGCAGGCAGGTTTGATTTTGAAATGTCCTAGCATTGACAGCTTGACTAAGGACCTTCCCTGAATTGTTTTAGTTAATTTTTAAAGTGATTTCTAGAGTTAGCAAATCCCAATAAATCTCTTTACATGTTGTATTGATATTCACACAGGTTTTGTGTGTTCCTCCTGGATAGCTGTTCTGCAATCTCACTCCTTCCAAAACTAGAAACTTCACTGTTATTTCCAGATTAAAATTATACTCATCTTTGTTGCAAATGGGGCCTTTTAAACAGTTTCCTTCCAACTTCTGATAGCATCTTTCCACTTCACATAGAATCAGGTTCCCTCTGGTTTTCTTTATCTAAATTCAACAATCTCCTTCACCATTTTGATGTAGATTCTTCCGAATCTACTTAATAAAGCCATTGATAATCATCCATCTCTACTGACAGTACCTCATATGTGCATAATATGATCTCATTTACATTTTTCATTATCAGTGTATCAGTAGCTCCTAATCATCCTGACATTGATTAGTGCCAGCAGTTAAGGTTTTAACCATTATCTTTTGACAATGCACATTTATCTCACTGCTGTTATTTCTAATCCTTAAGCACATCTGACTTCCTAAATTTTAGTCTAATATTCCTGCCTAAAAAACACAGACTAAGCCAAACAAACAAACAAGAGAGAAAAACACCCACCCATCCCCAAACAATACAGGAAAAGAAAATACCCAACAAAATAACAGTGAAGTTATGGAATCCATATTAAAGTACCTCAGAAGTGAGTTTACTCAAAGAAATGAAGAGTTAAAATTTCACTTAAAGTTTAGAAGAGTTACAACTGAGATTTATATTTCTCAGCATGGCTGTAGAATTGAATGGACTTTTTTTTTTTTTTCATTTAGCCGGCCAAGATATTTTTAGAGTTTTCTAAACTATTTTTGGAAACACAGAAGACTTGTAGTACAATAAAGGACATAAAAGACAGGGAAAACTAACAACCAGTGTAATTTTATACTGTGAAAATGAGGCATAGAATTCCCATGTTGAAAGCAATGCTCATAAAAAGCAGTGGATGTCACAGGGTGTTCTTTCCTGGTCATATCAGGTCATCACTTGCAATACATATGCTACAGACTAACAGGTATAGTGCCTTCTAAATCCCCTGGAGAGCAATATGGGAGCTCACCATAGGGCCTTACTTCTGCAGTATCTGAGATGCACAGCCACAGCATCATTCAGGATAGGAGGCCAGGTTGCTCTGGCACCAGCTGATTTTTTAGTATGAAGGATGAAGATTTCTCAGCATTTCTGGACAACTTATTTTCAATTTATTATTTCACTAAAGTGAAACTCTTTTTCCTGTCTCTAATCAAAATTCCCCACCTTCCAGCTTGTATCCATTACCTCTCAATCCTATTAATACAATCCTATTATTGTGCACCTTTGAAAGGGCTCCACCATCTCTGTAATCTCCCAGTAGTTACCAGGTAGTTGGAGACAGGAGGGATGTCCCTCTCAGTCTTCTCCAGTTTGAACCAGCCCAGTTCTCTCAGCCTCTCTCCTTCTACCGTGTGTGCTGTTCCTCTCACCATCCTGGTGGCTCTCTGCTGGATGCACTCAAGCTTGTCAGTTTCTTTCTTGTCCTCAGGAGTGCAAAGCTCTGCATGGTACCGGGAAAGGGTTTCAGAAGGGCTGAGCAGATGGGGAGGGAAACACTTCCCTTGGCTTACTGGCCACACTCCTAATAATGCAGCCCAGGGTGCTGTTCACATTCAACTTGTTGCCTATCAGCACCCCTTTTTCTACAGAGCTGTCTTCTATCCAGTTGTTCCTGGCCTGTACTAGTACCTGGGATTATTCCTTCCCAGATGCAGGGCTTTGCCCCTGCACAAGATCCCAATACACAGACCAAATGAATCCGATGCTCTTAATCCAGAGATACTATTGACCCAAAAGGCCAAGTCTTTCATGTATCCTTGTAGAACAGTTCACAGAGTATGTGAGCAGTATCAGTGAACAGATGGTTAGTATTTGTAGCCAGTTCATAGTTACATTCTTCTTAACTTTTTTGTATAATTTTTCAGTTTTGACTTGGAAGGTTTTTTTTGGATGATTTTATTTAAGACTGGGTCTTAAATTAAAACTGGGCTGAACTACCAGAATGTCTCATTAGACTGCAAAAAAGATTTTATTATAAGGAACAGGCATCTGGAGCTGTGTGGAGAAAGAGCAGATGCCTTGCAATTATCTTAAATTCTGTGTGCCTTTAACAACAAGCATGCCAGGCAGCTGTGCTAGGTCAAATAAGAAACCCACATAACCATAGATTAAATTTGTCATGAGAGTAATACGGATAGTATTTTTAAGCTGGGGACATCTCTCTTTTACCAGTGACAGAGAAACAGAACAATGAAACCCATAAACTAAAACCCCATCAGACGTACATTAATAACTTTCAAGCTATTTCAGCGTATCAAAGGAAAACAAAGGTAGAGAGTTTAGGAAGTTCTCAAAGAACTGGACTTTGCCTGAAATGTGTGAAAGCTCAGTTGAGCAAGCAGAGGTGGGTGGGGAATGGTGACATAGATTAGAAGATACCTGAAATCCCAACGAGAGAGTTCCCAGAGGAAGTGGAAAAAGAAGACTGTCATTGCACTAACAAAGCTATTGTCACCTTTCATTCTTAAAAATAGCACATACTAGGAGCCTCAGTGAGCATGCCAGTCCTGGCAAAACAAAAGTATTAAATACAGCGACTACTTTTTTAAAGTAAATGAAACAGAGAGCTTGAAGGAGGGAAGAAACAAAAACAGTAGGATGACAGGTTCAGATATGAGAATGAGGACTCAGTGCCATTAAAACCTCTTTGCAGCATTGAATTGTATAACCCATCCATGCCCATCTTCCAAGCAGGATGGGAAAGAAAGTGACTAGAAACGATTACAGTGCTACATAAGAACTCGTACTATATTTTCATGAAAAGGTGTGAACTAAGGCTAAAGGGTGGGTAGAGGCAGGGACAGCCAATGTGTTCAGATTGAAGGCTCTGGGGACCTTCAAGGTCTCTGCTGTTACAGCAGTGTCAGCAGTAAGCATAGGCTGCTGGATGGTGATTCTCAAAAAAAAAAGTATCTTTGGAGAGATGCAGTACTTTTTTTTTTTTCTTCTCATTAAAAGTTTTCTGATTTCACCAGGAGAAGTCAAGTTATTTTACAAGTTATGTGAGCATTTTATTTGATTTTCATGGCCAAACTCTAAGCTTTACTTCCCTTTCTCATTAAATACCGGATGAAGTGGAACTGGGCAGAGACTGAATGTGACATTTCTACACAAGAAAATAAAACTTTCTTACAGTCATGCATTCAGGCGAGCCATGTGTTGAAGCACTAAATGAAAAAAAAAAAAAGGTTTCTTTTTATCTGCTAGATTGGGTAATATGAAAGTTACATAGCTTCTTACTACAGTCAGTCTACTATCTTTAGATTTCAACTTTGGCAGGGGGAGAGAAACAGTGCAATTGTTGAAAAATGTTTTCAATATGACTTCGTCTTCTAGAATTGAAAGCAACAATCTGAGTGGAATCAAATATCTGAGTAGAGATATTTTCATCTTTTCGGCACTTTTATTTAGAGCAAGAGAAGAAATAAATGGACATGGGAGCAAAGAATGAAAGATAATACAAAGTATAAAATTATCAACAGAAAAAATAGCAAGAAATAAATTGTCTTTTATCCAGCTTGAAATATTCTATACTGTTTACTGTAAAAATTAATAGATGTTTGCATGGATTTCCAAAGTGCTATGTGCATATAGTAACAAATAAGGATTTCAAAGGCTCTGTTTTCAGAGTCTATTGTGCTATTCTCCAGACTCAGTAAGTGTATAGGTCCATTAGGTCCATTAGGCTAAAGAGGGGAGGGAGGAAAAAAGTTTAAAAAAAGTGGGAAGTAAAAGTTGATTCTTCACGATTCTTCACTTAGATATTTCTTTCACTGCTGCCATGCTAGATTAGACCTACCTGGTTCACAGCAAAGGAAACCATTTCAGCTCTATTAACAGTTTTCTCTCTACACAGCTCACCCTAATGGATTGCTGCAATATCATTGTTTGACCTCAAAAGATAAAACCCCATCAGGTCAGTAGAACTTTTTAGGTCATAGTACATGACAATGAAATAGTTACAGATGAAAAATTTGCAAGTATGATTTGTCAAGACTTTTTATTACAGAAGGAAAAAAATTCACTCAAGCTGGCAAATACATCTTATCTCTGACATTTTCAGGTTTGATACTTAAATCACCGTATGTCTTCTAACAAAAGCACATAGAAACAAAGTATTTTTAATTATTTTTGCTTTAGTTATGTAAAAAACTTCTATCTTGATAGTTAAATTGTGGTGCCACTTCCAATTGTCTTTTCTCATTCCACATTGTCTAAAGCTACTCAGGAAAAGTAGATGCTGCCCAAGTTGAACAGGTTATCACGTAAGCAGCAGCATCTGTACTTGTTAGATGTATTTTTGGCTTTATTGAGATCTCCTGAGTATGTACAAGGTGTGAGGGAGAACAACCAATCTTTCTGGAATATGTCCTTATTAATTTTGAAACAAATATTCACTTCTGTTTCTTTTGTGCAAACACTCAATCAATATTTGATAGCTGTATTTACAGCCTGGTATTTTTAGTAGCTTGATTACTTTTGAGTAGTTTTGTCTCAGTCTGTCACCTTAAGATTTTCAATTATTTTCCGAGTCTCAGATAAGCTTTACTGTAAGACTTAATATTTTCATTCATGTATTCATTAAAGGTAGCATCAAAATCAATCCTTCATTAAGATTTGTTGAACAAGGCTGCTAGAAAAATGTAATGCTATATCTCAATCCAGTATGAATCAAATGCTTAATGGAACTATCTTCTGATTACTAATGTCTCCTTATTAGCAAATGTATGAAAGGAAAATTAATCTTAGTACATGCTTATCAGTTTAAAGCAAATCATATGGGGCTTATTTATCTTTCTTCCAAGAGCTGGGACAATCAAGAAAAAAAGCACAGAAATCACTTAAGCAAAATCCTAGAAATAATACTGTACATGAAAATTATGAGAGTGAAGGGCAGATCTGAACTTTCTCAAAGCTCATAGCTGTTCAGAAACAGATTTTAGCATCTGTTTCATATCAGCCTAGATGAAGGTGAAGTGGGAAACAAATATTTAATATGAGCCTCTGGATCCCACAATAAAATACAAGAGTTTGGTACAGATAATTTTAACTGAATTTACCTTTTAAAATGTGGGATAAACTGACTCTGATTATTCATTTTGTTACTCTACTGCCGCTTCTGAACCAAAAAAGCCTAAATTCATGGATGCATCTTCTGGCACAATGAAGAAAGAGTTGGTTGTTGCATCTGCTTATTTTCAGGCAGACAACAATGTTTTTGCATTAAAACTTAGGATGGCATTTATCAGACAAATACTAATCATTCCACCTTCACTTTATAGGCAACAGTAAAACAAGGGCCAACTCTGCAACAGAATTTCTCTCATCCTAATGATATATGTAAAAGAAGCCAGATTATTTGTACCCAAGAAATGCTTTTTTTTTTCTCCACTGATTGTAAATGAAGCTGTTTATGGTGTCAGGGAGGCTACTGCAGTTATAGAAGTCTAGTTTATAAATGCGTAAATGTTAATGAGATGAACCCTATCACTAATTGCATTTTGATCTTCATTTGCAGGAATTTCTTTGCTTTATTGCACAGCTTTATTTGAATGGGCACATCTTGAAATCTTTGACTGCAAGCTCAGGTTTTGGAGAATTTTCAGATCTAGGAAGACAGGCAAAAATTTTACATTACATGCAACAAAGAAATTTTACTGCATCACTTTAAAAGGAGAGGAAGCATAAAAAATCAAACAAAACAAAACAAAAAAGCAGAATTCATGCGTAAAGTTTTCTGTGTTGTTACAGGCCATTATATATGTGCATCCTGTGTTCAGCTTACATTATATATTTGAGGTTAAGTCCTGAAGTTATGCAGACATAAACGTAGTTAGATGAAACCCTTGAATACTTCTACTGACTTGAAGAACTCAATGTAATCCTCTGATTTCAGTGCCTCACCTCCTTCAGTTCTCATTTTTCTCACAGCATTTCTGCTCCTAGTTTTAAGAGCCCTGTCATAAGTTCATAAGGCCCATTTCAGTAGAAAATCACTAAGTACCATTCTTTAACATTTTAGTCAGAAGTGGCATCTGCTATTAGCTGTGCTAACCCTCTCTTCACAGGTCTTTATTAGAGAAAGTTTTGACAAAAATAAAAAGCGCTCTTGGCTTTCCAGCCATTACTTATCAATAGCTTTCCCTTTCTGTGAGAGAAAGTCCAATATTGTCCGTCTTCACTCACTGCCAGCATGCTCATGGAAACATTTCTTATCAGTGCCGGTAATAACTTGCTCACCAAACACGATTTAGTGTGAACATCTGCAGCTTCATAACACAAGTTTGCCTCCACCAAGCTCAGCTCCACCACACCTGTTTTCCCTGAATGTTCCTCTTCTTTGGTTTAGTTAGGTGGAGGGCATTTGTCTACATCCAGACTTTTCAGGTGGAGGAGTCTTGCTGCTCTCATTAGTTCAGTTCTTTAGATGTATCTAATACTGGAAAATTATTTCTATCCGCTCCATCCTGGGGGTTCTGTTCACGGGCTGATTCTTTGTGTGACCTCAGCCAATCTATGCTCTGGCAGATGTGAAAATAGGGAACCTAATCAAGAATAAATGTGACAGTATGTTCTCATCCCTAGGAACTGAATTAACAAGAAAATCAACCAAGTAATTCTGCAAAAAGGAGAATTTTACTCTTGTCATATCCTCTGGTTGCTAGCCTGGTTAGGCAGGACAGGCCTATCTTAGTAAATTTGTTCATACCCTCATAGAAGTTAACGTGTACAGGAAGTCATTGTGAGGCACAAGAGATGTGGGACAGGGCTCATTAGCACCATGTCTTGGGTTCTCACTGCTTTCATGAGGTCTTTCAGGTGGTTGATCTGGGAGTAAAAAGCAACTGTCCTTTGGAAACACTCAACAAGAAAAATTGTCACTGTGGTGTATCCCTCTGCCACAGCTGCAGGCAAGTTACCACCATCTCATCCATGTTACTGAAAGTAGGGCATGCATTTTACAACATCAACAGAAGCGTAACGCACAGCACCCTTCGGAAACTCCCATTATTGATACAGATGTGCAGAACTTCACCTTTAATCTTTAGCTGCTTTTAAGCATGTCTTCAGCAATGGATGTGCTGTATCACATCTGAAGTTTAAAAAGCTGCTGAGAATCCTGGTATGTGGTTTCCATAAACTCGTTTGAAATTAAAATTTCAGTTGAATAACCGATTTAGAAAAAATCTATTATTCTGCAGTGCATTATGCGGCAATAACTGAGTGACAAATTTCAAGTTACAAAGTGTAAACATTTTTGCCTGAGAACTCTGAGGAAGTGCTCATATTGTGTAACTTTGAAAGTGTTACTTTTACCACTGACTTGGAAGCACTTAATATTTCTTCAAAATATTGTGGGAGAAGTTGGATCTGAGCAGACACCGAAGTCTAAAAGTGCATTCCTCATAACCTAGAGGTAGTCCTGAAATACGTTCTTTAACAACCTGCTGTTCAGCTTTCTCCAACTAGATCAAATGTTCTGTATTTCAAAGCTGTGCAGTGGCACACAAGTGAAGAGAGTGAGTATGCACATGTCAGGAGCTTGTTGTATGAGATACTAGGATAGGAAGCCAAACCCTGAAATACTGTTGGTGTCCACGCCTGGATTTGTCATTGACAATATGGTATTGAATAGTTAATTTAGACATAAAATAAAAGGCTTTTAAGGAGTTAAGGATTTTAAGGATTGATAGGTAAAGGCTTTTAATAATCCTTTGAAGGAGATTTTCAGACAGTGCATACACATCCAGACGGAAGTCTCATCAGGGATTTGGCAACACCAGATGCATGTGAAAGAAAGCAATGCTAAATAAATAGTTCTGCAACCAAGCCACAATCAGTTGTGCTGGATTATTTCCTCATTCTAGAAAGCCAACCTTTTATTACAAAAGTACAACTTATAAGTGATGTCAATTTATTTCCTGGAAATTCCCTTCAAATTCCAAAAAAGAAAAAACATTTGTGTAGTGAAAATGGATGTGGGAAAAATACTTTATTCTGGAGAGACATTTTAAGCAATGGGAAAGAAAAACGAAAGAAAGATTTTGTTCTACTTGCATTTAATTTCCCACAGAATACTTTGTAGACAAAATGACTGGGGCCATAACCTCAATTGTTCAAACCTATTAAGCAAATTAATCTGTGAATTTATTTAGAAGTACACCAGGTTCTCTCTTACAGTACTGGGCTTTGAAAGTTCACAATAGGTTTCACATGAGAAGCATGAGACTGATGCTGGCAGTCAGTTTATTTGCTTAGGTTGGGACAGGAGCAAGAAAAGAAACACTTCAAATGTTTACCCTGCATAAAATAATTTAATCACATCCATTAAGTCTGTGAGACTGAATGAAATCACAGAAGCCTGTAGCATTGGTGAATTGCTATTCTCTGCAGTATTATGAGAAATATTAATGACTAACATTTGATTAATGCTGTTAATTTAATGATTAAAAAAACCCCATAAAGATCAATAAGAATTACTGCCTGTAACACCCAGAGGGAAATTAGATTGAAATTGTTCGCGTGATTCATGGTTTTTTCATTAAAGTTCTCAATCTACTGTAAAATCTGTACAGGTATAAAAGCTGTGGTGATCATTTAATACACCAGCAGGGCATCTCAGACAGGAATTTATACAATAAAATGATCTTAGCATTCATTCTCTGAGAGACTGCACTGCTCCCTAAGCCTGAGAAGTGCAGACAGTTCAGTCGGTAGCCCCACACCTGCTCAAGAAAGGAGCTTTAGAGGCAAATCCATTTCCTTCACTGTTTCATCTTTTAGAACTGACAGTTCCATTATGCTGATTTTTTCTGCTGTTAAAATATCATTCATTCTTTAAAATACTGTTTTGTGAAAATTGTTTAATTCTGACCTTTGAAAGCACACATCCTCTCCCTCCTGAGATTCTGGGGCTTTTTGTTTTCTTTTTCTTTGGTGTAATTATGATCAGAATTACATTAATACAAGGAAGAAAAAAAACAAAACAAAAAAAACCACCACAAACAACAAGCAAAACAAACAAAAAAAAAAACACCAAAAACAAAACGCCACGACACAGAAAGAACATTACAGACAGACATCTTTCCCCCCACCTCCTCATAGCTTTTTCTTTGGAGGAATAGAATGAATAAGAGATACATTTCTCTATGGAGATGGGAGGGTGTGAATGTTTGTTTTCTGATTTTGAAATTCAAAGAAGTATACATGTTTTCTTTTGCTCTAACAATAAAAGCAAGCAGAGGTATGCATCAGTATGTATAAGACTCAGTATTTGCAAGAAGTAGGAAAATCACTGCACCATCTTGAAACAATTTGTGAATACGGGTCAAATTCTCTAAACAATTCTTTTAAGGAAAGTGTTCAGGTTTAGAAACATCAAGCACTACTGACTGGGAAGAAAGCAGACCTGTCTTTACATTTTGTAGTCCAGTCATTGGAGATATCATGAGGTGAAATTCAGATTGTTTCTTGTGTTTCTTATGGCTTTAAGCCCCTTTTGCATGTAATCACAGTATGAGTCCCACCTTTGCTTCTGTGACAGTAGTTTTATTCTACACTGCATGCTTGAACAGGAATCTCTAGCATAGTGAATGAGGCATTATACAAACTCTATGCACATGTGATAACTTCATTTACAAAATAAATATATTCTGTTTGCATGTCATTTTCCCCCTCCTGTAACATAGGATATGCCCTTTGAACAAAATACCCTGGATGAATAGCACTCTGGAATACTTGTGTTCTTCTCTCAATCAGTGACTTGTAAAGTTGACTGGGTCACCTGAAATCATTTTGGGTGTAGACAAGGCCATAGATGAGGGCTTTTGAAGCAGTATTAGAAGACTGGAAAAAATCCTAATTTAGTTTTCAGAGCTCAGTTGCAATTTGTTGGATCTGAAGTTAATAAAACTATGGAATCTTGTGAGACAATCAAGCCAGATTTTTATTAGCAGGTTGTTACCTCCAAGGAGAGATCTGAGTTCCACAGAGAAGCTCTGGGCATTCTTCATTTGTGTCTCACTGAGTCCATTAAAAAATCATGGGTTATAGGTAAAATTTGCATTCTATTTTTCTGCTTACCTAGCAACTTGAGACACAAAGTAGCTAACTTTTATCTTGTTACAATAAATAAGCTTGCTTACTAATTTTTGGCTCTCAGAAGCAAGCATTTGACCTGCGACTGGAAAAGATAAATAATACATGCACATTTAAATGACTTAGTCATGTAGTGCTTTCTGCTATACTGCAATCCAAGCAAGCTGTCTGCAAGTCATTGTTGAGAATTTGAGATAATATTTTTTTTCTTTAAAGCTAGGAATGAAGGTTTCAGCAGTGTTTTGATTTTTGGTTTCCCTTTTCCTTTCCTTTTTCATTCCTTCCTCGCTTTCTGTACTGTGCTTCAAGGGTAACAGAATTACTTTAATATTGCTCTTCTTTTGTTAAACATGATGTGAACAGAGTACTACTTGAATCTGAAATGACCTTTGAAGAATAACAAGCCAGTAAGTATGAAACGGGCCTAAAAGGATCTCTTGGAGATGATCCAGTTTTTATCACCTGAATCCTAAATACTGCTTCTTTTACAGTATCACAAACTACAGTGCTAGAACATCATAGAATGATGATGAGGTAAAAAGTAATAGGGCCATTCTAATCTGACTGCGGTATAATAATATCTGAAAAAAATAAAATTTAAATATTTGCATAAAATGAAAATAGGTAAGACAATACAGTGCCTGAAACTGCCTTTGGAAAAAAACACTGAAGAGCTTCTCTGCATTCCCAACAAACTAAATAAAGCTACTCCCAGCAATAAAATTGGATTGACATTTTTATATCTTAGTTTGAAGCTACTTTCAGGTATAAGCCTTAGGTCTGCCTGCAAAAATAGGAAAAAGCAGTAATATTTTGTAATAGCCTATTTCAGAGGCTTTTGAAGGCCTTACAAATGTACATTTATTGATACTAGAATACTTTTGCACAGGGTAGAAATAAAAGTTGCATTACCTTCTTGGTAGGTCCCTCACCCACATCTCACAGTTCATGCCTAGTCTCTCTATGGTTCATCTCTGTAGAAGTGGGACAAATTTAAAATAGCCACTCCAGCAGTAGCTTCTTCTAGTTTGTTTCTTGGGAAGAGGGGTGGGGGCTGTGGAGTTGGGGCAGGGATGGGACAAGTGAGATCTCATCTCTGTAAGAAGAGTCTGGAATAACTGTGCCTGTACTAGAGATTTTATCATTCCGGAGACTACTGCTGACCTTTAGAGTGTGATCCTTTGCACTAACAAACTGTTAAACTATGCCCTGGAGTGAACTTAGCCCCTCCAGCTAGCGCTTTCTCAAATACTTTAGAGGGAGGAGGGTGGGTTCATCATCTGGGGTCATTACCAATAGGCAGTTTGTATGCAGATGATACTGATTTTTAAGCAAAGATATTTTACTTATTTATGTGATACTTTGCCACAGTACAAAGGAAGATGCTTGGATGTGCTTCATTTACTGATATATAAGATTGCTGTGTCCTGTACATTTGCTTTTCCACTAGGCTTGATGACTCCATATATCATTAGGCGCTGTCTTTTGAGGCTTCTGCTGACAGTTTGAAAAATCCCTTCTCCTCCTTCTGATGAATACTTTGCAGATTTTTGTGGTAAACAAACCTGCATCTCATTTCTTCTTGAGCTTCACAGACAGCATATACATTCTTGACATAAACCTTAACAGTATTTCCACTGTCTCACATTTTCACTCCTTAGTCAACAGGACGCATCTATACCTTTCCCAGGCAAAAAGACCTTGTAACCGTTACATCCCTGTCTTATGCCTTTACCTCTTTCTAGGGCTAATCATGGCCAGGATTTGACCAGGCTTAATGAATTTTATCTCTTCCTGCCCACAGCTAAGAAGCCTTAGCTTCAGAACAGGTTCCAAGACACAATGATGGAAGATCTTCTGATGAATATAATACTGGTGTCTCAAAGAAGGACTGAAAGTACACAACACCTCAGAGCTAAGTTGAACAGCACTTGATTACTGTTTAATGGTTTCAGTATTTGAAATTAAGCATTCTATGCAGTTTTAAATATTGATCTGGTTGACTTTTCACTGGGAAGTTTCTGAAAATGGTATTTTTAAATGTCACAGTATTTCAGACGCGATAAATCTGTGAACTGAGTTCTACAGAGAGACATGTCAGATTAAACAGATGCAACTGAACTTTATCACCAAATAAAAATCTTCTTCAAACTTCAGTACAGAAGGATTTTATAATACTGAGTGTATTCAGTATTCAGTGTACTGAACATGGGTCTTATTGCTCTGTATAGCAAGTCAGATCAAGAGCTGGCTCATGGTTTCTTTCACAGCAAGTCAGTGAAATGTAGTGCTGAGAGAGCTGGCAGAAAGTGTTACTTTAGAGTACTAAAAGAAAGCATAAGGGGAAGGCTAGCAAATTCTGGGAAAGCTGGTCAGACTGTGGAATTTAGGAAGTTTTGGGATGTTAATGCATTGAGGAATGGGCAGAGGGGAAGATTACGTGAAGATAAGTGGGATGTCAGAATGAGAGACTTGAGAAAAACCCATCGAGAAACAGGGGGAAGAAACACTCTCTCTCCCCCTAACCCTACTTTTAGTTGTCCCCTTGCTCTTGTGACCTTTTTATTCCTTCTTAGGCCCCTGTTATACAAGATTCTTCAGCACCATTGGAACAGCAGAGGAAACAGAGGGCTGTGCAAGCAGGAGGTGAGGATTGAGGCTATATATGCTGTGGTAACAGCTGTCTGTTCTATACAATTGTATGTTTTAACCAGCAAATGCTGTTTTTGCTTTTCTAACAAAGCTAAATATTGTATCTAAATATTATAATATATAATAGTATATTGCTACTAGATTAACAAAGGTACTGATACAGAATATTTGCTTGTGGAAATCATTTTAATTTTACTTCTTCTACTGAGAGAGAAACCTTGCTGTTTTGTTAGCACTGGAATACCCCCTGGCAGAGCTGTGCTAAGACTGTGTCCATGGATATAATGATAGAATTTATGAAGATCTGTGAAGGTTCCAAAATAGCTACTCAAAAGGAATATAGGAACAAGACAGATAAATGAGCAGAGCGTGAATATTTTACTATTTTACTTCTTGAAGAACCCAGGAGATCTCTCTGTTACTGTCACCTTTGTCTTGACAAAAAATGGCCTGAGATTTTTCGTTCTTTTCTTTTTAACTATATATGTACCTTATTTTCCTTTTAATTTGAAGATATTCCATAAGGTTGAGCAGGAAACAGGAAACAATCTTATAGAACTTGCAGAGGGAAAAATTTGAAGCTTTTGAGATTTTCAGGTTTTAAAGAAGGTTTAAAGAAAAAAAACCCTATTTTAATATAAATAATACATGTACTGTTCTATCTATGTCTTGAGTATGACTTGATGAAAATGAACCTTGAACACAAGGCAACAAGTATATACACACATATATAGCTTTAACCTTCATCCAAATCATAAAGTTTCTCAACTGTTGCATTATTATGTATTGTATTAATGAGTAATTTTAATTGTTTCTATGCTTCCTAGAATATTAGAGCAGAACTTCATGAGTAACTTGAAGTCAGGATACAAGATCAGAAAACAAACCTGTATAGTACTTTTAGGATCTGTTATTATTATATCATTATATTGAAACAAACCGATGCAAAATTTATCATGCTTTAAAATAATTTCAGAAACAAACATGCACTGATACTGTACTTCTTCAATATTTATTCTTTTCTGCTAAGCCTCGTAATAGAAGAGAACATTAATGTGTGGATGGTTTGAATCATATTTGTATACATCTACCTCATATGCTTTTTTCCCACTTATAACTCTCTTTTTTCTCTCCTAAAGGCTCCAGATTTTTTTAGCATTTTAAAGTATCTAAAGTCTTTGCAAGACCT